GTCCAATCCTGCATTCTCTTGCCTTGGCTCCACCCCTGTCCCCGCCCCCAGATCCTGCTTCCTGGTCCAATAGGGGTGTGGCTAGCCCGCCTCTGCCCCAGCCCACCAAGTTCCAACATTCTCATTGGTCCACCAACCCTTTTTTCCACTGCACGTTGCCCCTTCCACCTCGAGTGTCCCTGCCCGCTTCCTCCTCTTCCACCTCCCCCTTAGGGCTTCCCACGTTTCTTGCCGGTTCATCATCTGCTTCTCACTCTGGCCGTCACCAGTTTCCAGCCCCTTCACTGTCTCTTCCCCCTGCTTGGAGTACTCTTTGCTCTGACCCGCCCCACCCTCAGCCTGTCCCACCCTATGGCCTCTCTGGCCCCGCCCCATACCCATGCTGGCCTCGCCTACACCATGGCCCCGCCCCATACTCATTGGTCCCGCGGCATATCCATGCTAGCTCCACCCACATCCTGGCACCACCCCATACTCATGCTGGCTCCACCCACACCATAGGTCCACCCCATACTGCTCATGCTGGCTCCACCCACACCATAGCTCCACCCCCTACTAGTGCTGGCTCCACCCATACCCTGGTACCACCCCATACCAGTGCTGGCTCCACCCACACCATAGCCCCATCCCATACTAATGCTGGCCCCACCCACACCATAGCCCCACCCCCTACTAGTGCTGGCTCCACCCACACCATGGTCCCGCCCCTCACTCATTGGTCCTGCCACATATCCATGCTGGCTCCACCCACATCCTGGCCCCTCCCTATACTCATGCAGGCTCCACCCACACCATGGCCCCACCCACACCATGGCCCCACCCCATACTCAGGAGGGCTCTACCCACACCATGGCCCCACCCCATACTAGTGCTGGCTCCACCCACATTGTGGCCCCACCCCATACCAGTGCTGGCTCCACCCACATTGTGGCCCCACCCCATACCAGTGCTGGCTCCACCCACATGGCCCCGCCCCATACATGTGCTGCCCCACGACACTATGGCTCTGTGCATTCTCACGTTGCCCTACCCCATGCCCTCTGTGCCCCTGCTCCACACTCAATGCGGGCCCCGCCACACTGTGGCCCCCGCCACACTGTGGCCCAGCCCCATGCCCACTCCGGCCCCACCCCGGCCCCACCCCACAGACTGCTGGCTTGGGCCTGGCGCGCCTGGGACTCTCGTGGTACGCGGACCGGCCTGCAGGCACCTACAGCGGAGGGAACAAACGCAAGCTGGCGACGGCCGTGGCGCTGGTTGGGGACCCAGCCGTGGTGTTTCTGGTGTGTGGAGGTGGCACTTGAGTGGGATGGGGCCTGCGACAGAGGCCGGGCCTGGCTTATGAGATTTTCCCCGCTTCCCAGGACGAGCCGACCACAGGCATGGATCCCAGTGCGCGGCGCTTCCTCTGGAACAGCCTCCTGGCCGTGGTGCGGGAGGGCCGCTCCGTGATACTCACCTCGCACAGGTGGGCCGGGTGCAGAGGCCCCGGGCTGTGGTTAAGGCGATCCATACCTAGAGAGAGACCCCCAAAGCCACCGGGATGGGGGGTCCTGTTCTGTTCCTGGTGGGACGAGGGTGCCAGGCCCCGGGGCATAAGGATATGCAGAGGTGGGATGCAGCCCCGGATCGTAGCAGTCTGGGCTGGGTGGGGAGATGTCCAGTCCAGAACGGTGGCCTGGGCCTGGGGAAGTAGGCGATGTGGTGCCAGGCACAAGTAGCTCAGGCCTCACAGAGCTCGTGGGCTGGTCCCGACAGCATGGAGGAGTGTGAAGCGCTCTGCTCGCGCTTGGCCATCATGGTGAATGGGCGGTTCCGTTGCCTGGGCAGTGCGCAACATCTCAAGGGCAGGTGAGCGGGCCGGGCCTCCAGGCAGGTGCGGGATGAAGGTGGCCACGAGGTGGGCTCAGTAAAGAGGCCAGACGTAGGGACAGAGGGGAGGATAGTTTGGCTAGGCTGTAGATTGTACTTCAGGGGTGACTTAGAGGGCCAGACAGGCTGGGGTGTGCTGGGGGCGCAGGACCAGAAGGCCTGAGCCAGAGGCTCTGGGTGGATTTAGAAGACGTAATCAGGTGTGCGTTGGAGAAGGTGCAGCCAGGAGAGGTGAGAGGGGGTTGATGGGTGGAGTTAGTGGAGGGCCTGGTAAGTGGGCGGGGCCTTTGGAAAGTGGGTGGGGTTGTTTGTGTGGGCGGGGCTAGGGCGCAAGGGCGGGGCCACTTGTGCCAAAAGAGGAATCAAGTGGGGTGATAGTTTCAAGACCAGCCTGGGCAACCTAGGGAGACCCCCATTTTTTTTTTTAAGATGGGGTTTCACCGTGATGGCCAGGCTGGTCATGAACTCCTGACGTCAGGTGATCCACCCACCTCGGCCACCCAAAGTGCTGGGATTACAGGTGTGAGCCATCGCGCCCGGTCTAGGGAGACCCCTCATTTCTATTAAAAAAATGAAAAATTGGGCCGGGCGCGGTGGCTCACGCCTGTAATCCCAGCACTTTGGGAGGCCGAGACGGGTGGATCACGAGGTCAAGAGATCGAGACCATCCTAGTCAACATGGTGAAACCCCGTCTCTACTAAAAATACAAAAAATTAGCTGGGCATGGTGGCGCGTGCCTGTAATCCCAGCTACTCAGGAGGCTGAGGCAGGAGAATTGCCTGAACCCGGGAGGCGGAGGTTGCGGTGAGCCGAGATCGCGCCATTGCACTCCAGCCTGGGTAACAAGAGCGAAACTCCCTCTCAAAAAAAAAAAAAGAAAAATTAGCTGGAGTGGTGGTGTTTGTCTGTGGTCTCAGCTGCGCAGGGGACTGAGGTGACAGGATCCCTCGATGGCTAGCGCAGGTACTAGCATGGGGCGGGGCCAGAAAGTAGTAGTGGCTGCAGGGTGAGCAGAGCTAGGACCTGGGAAAGGCCCCATCTAGTAGCCCTGGTCCCACTCACTGCAGATTCGCGGCTGGACACACGCTGACCCTGCGGGTGCCCGCCGAGAAGTCCCAGTCGGCTGCGGCCTTCGTGGCGGCGGAGTTCCCTGGAGCGGAGCTGCGTGAGGCACACGGAGGCCGCCTGCGCTTCCAGCTGCCGCGGGGAGGGCGCTGCGCCCTGGGGCGAGTCTTTGGAGCGCTGGCGGCGCACGGTGCAGAGCACAGTGTGGAGGACTTTTCCGTGAGCCAGACCATGCTGGAGGAGGTGATCACGGCGCTGGGGTGGGGCTGGGGGAGGCAGGCTGGGAGCCACGCGGCCTGTGGGCTGACCGCCCCTTGTGTCCCTTCTGGGCCGCCCACTGCCAGGTATTCTTGTACTTCTCCAAGGACCAAGGGAAGGATGGGGAAGAGGACGCGGAGGAGCAGGAGGAGGCACGAGTGGGAGTGGACCCTGTGCCAGGCCTGCCTCGCCCCAAATGTATCAGCCAGTTCCTCCATGACCCCAGCACCCTGGAGACTGTGCTCTGAGCCTCCTTCCCCTTCGGGGCCGCGGGGAGGCCCCGGGACTAGCAAGGGCAGGGTAGAGTGCCCAGGAGCCTGGACTCAAGCTGCCAGAGGGGCTGGTGCCCTGGAGAAAATAAAGAGAAGGCTGTGGAGAAGCCGTGAAGGTGAAACTGTGTGCATGTGTCTCCTTGCGCCAGGCCGCACGCAGCTGCCTGCACGTGTGTCTGGATATGGTCCCTTGCACGCTGAGTGTGCACGTATGTGCCCAGTGGCCATTCATAGGACACAGGTGTGAGCGTGTCTACAGCTGACCGGACCCCCAGCTGTAAATGCCTCTGTGGCCAGCCCAGGAGTTGGGGATGCAAGTTCGGGCCTCATAAAAGCCTGGTCCCCACGTCCCTGCATGGCCACGTGGGGCTGGCGCCTAAGGGCGGTACCTGTAAGTGCCTAGCCATGAAGTGGGGATGAGGTCAGGGCTCAGGAATGTCCTGGGAAGCTTAGAGGAGCCCAGTGTCCTGGAGCACAGGCCCCCTGGCCGTGCCAGAAGCCCGCCTGACATCCAGCTGCTCCTCGCCCCCTGATCCTGGACCTCAGAGCCATGAGTCAGGGGCAAAGAGTTTTCAAGGGTCTGCTGGGCTGGGTTTGCGCTTGGACCCGGACCTGGAGAGCCGGACTTGGAGCAGGGGGCTGTGACCTTCATGTCCTGTGCCTGGGAGACCCGCCTCTCCCACCCGAGGTAGGTGGGAATGGAGTTTGGGAAAGGAGAGAGGTTGGGGTTTTGGGATTGGGGGTGGGGTTCTGAAAGGGGACATCAGGGAGACCTGGGAAGGGGGGAGAGTTTACGCGGTGGGGGGTGGGGGAAGGTAGGAGGCCGGGATCTGTCCGCCTGCAGATGCCCCTGTTCTTGGTCAGTGCTGCCTCAGGCTGTCATCAGCCACGGGTGCCTGCGTCCTGCTGCCCAGCACGTCCGGTGGTCCGGAGTCCCTGGAATGCAGCATGGGAGGCAGGGGCGGGGACCTTAGCTCAGGGCAGCGCTGAGGCCTGGGGCAACCTGATACGGCCCACAAGGCTGCCAAGACATAACCAGATGTCCTCAGCATATTCTGACGATGGTGGGGTCCACACCACAGCTTGGGGACCCCCGTGGAGGCAGCCCAGCAGTGGGTGGATGTGGGGGCTGGGGCCCACAAGGACAGGGCCAGGTAACCTAGACTGTTCTGACTCTTCCTGGACTTCCTTGCCCCCAGGGCTTCGGTTCTGGGCCTCAGTTTCCCCACCTGTCCTGATCCGGCCCACCTCATGGGGCTGCAGGAGGGGTGATGGGGTGACCCTACTCTGCCCCGCCCTGCCGGGTCTCTGCCATGCCCTAGGGTCTGCAGGGAAGGTGCTTGGAGGAGGTGGAGCTGGAGTTCGCCTTCAGGAAAAAGGGGGCTGCAGGGGCGCACTTCGGCCCGTGCGTGTGTCTGGGGTCTGAGGGGAGGCTCCGGGAGCTTGGTGGCGCCCGAGCGCATGTGGAGGTCGGTGTGTCATCATGCACACGTGTCTGCACGCCCAGCCGCGTCCGTGAGTGACGGTCAGCACCCTGCAGTCGGCCACCCTGTGCCCGCCGAGAGCCCCAGCGCCAGCCAGGGGCGCCCCGTCCCACCCCGCGAGCGGCGCCCCGTCCCACCCCGCGAGCGGCGCGGCTCTGAGCTCCGAAAGCGGAAGCGGGGGGCGCGGCCCGGGGCTGGGGCGGGGCCTGCGACCTCACCTTCGCGCCCACTCCGCGGAGCCGCAGGCCGAGGCCGGGAAGGGTCGGGGGCGAGGTCGCGCCGCCGCCTCCCCGAAGCGTTTTCCTGTCGGGGGGAGGGCCCGTCACGTGGGCCTGACAGCTGGGGAGGGGGTGGCCGGTGACAATGCGGTCCCCAGGCGGCCAGCGCCGGGAGCTGCGGCGCTGAGACCCCCGGCCCGTCCCACCCAGCCGGGCCCCTCGGGCTCCCGGCCCGGGCCCCGTCATGTTCTCCAGGAAGAAACGGGAGCTCATGAAAACCCCTTCTATCTCCAAAAAGAACCGCGCGGGAAGCCCCAGCCCGCAGCCCTCAGGGGTGAGTGGAGCCGGGGCGGAGACCTGGGGCTGACACGGGCCGCAGGGGCACAGGGACCCGCCCTGTGCTCGGGGCCCATGCTGGGGCGGCGGCTGGGGGCCCGTGCCAGCTACAGCCCCTGCCGGGTGGCACGGCAGAGAGACCGGGACCCTGGCGTTCAGCTGACGGTAGGGACCCTGGGAGTGGCGGCCGCCTCCCCCCGCTCTGTCCAGGGCTGGCTGCGGGGCCCAGGGAGCGGGAAGGGAGGGGGCCAGGGTGGGGCAGAGCTGGGTTTGGGTCGCTGCAGGTCGAGGGCTTCGGCAGCCTGGGGGCTCCAGGAGCCGTGGAGGTGGGAGGGCTGTGGCCTGGCCGTTGGGTTGAAGGTTTCCCGGGCAGCAGATCCTCATGGGGTCCAGCAGGTACTGGGGAGTGTCTCCAGGCCTGGGGTGACTACAAAGCTTGGAGGTTGGGGGTGTCTACACTGCCTGGGGCTATCCATAGGGTCCAGGGGACTACAGACCTCTAGGGTACAGACATAGTCACAGGTGTCTTTGGCCGCGTTATAGAAGCTTGAGGGGGGCTAGAGCTAGAAGGGCTGAAGACCATCCCCACCCCCACCAGGAAGTGGGGACCCCCCTCCCGCGCCTCCCCGCAGGCCCCGCCCCGGCTGTGGTTTGGGCAGGGACCGTTGTTTGTGAAAGCTCTAGGGAAGAGGATGTTGGGTAACAGGTGGGGGGGTACACTACCAAATCTCGGGCCTGTGACCTCTGGCCTTTGACCCCTGTGGGATCAAAGTGATGATGGCCCTTCACAGCCCCACTTCATTCCTGGGGAAACTGAGGCAGTGTCCAGGCTGGATAATCCCTTTAACGAGCTCCCCTCGGACCTGCCCAAGGAGCTGCCCAGGAAGGATGGGGCTGATGCTGCGATCCCTGGACCGAGCCTGGAGCCGCCTGCCGGGTCCTCTGGCGTCAAGGCCACGGGCACCCTCAAGCGGCCCACCAGCCTGAGCCGCCATGCCAGCGCAGCTGGCTTCCCGCTGTCTGGTGCCGCCTCCTGGACACTGGGCCGGAGCCACCGGAGCCCACTGACAGCTCCCAGCCCGGGCGAGCTGCCCTCTGAGGGCATCGGCCCTGATGCCGTAGAGGACATCTCCCACCTGCTGGCGGATGTGGCCCGCTTCGCCGAGGGCCTTGAGAAACTCAAGGAGTGTGTGTTGCGTGACGGTGAGAGCCACGGGGACACTGAGGCCTGGGTGGGAGGCAGAGCCAGACACGGATGTCTCCAACCCAAGAGAGGATGGAGGGAGGGACTTGGGGAGGCTCAGAAGGGAATGACAGGGAGTGCTGTGTGGAAGCGGCCATGACAGCTAAGGCTCTGAGGGATGTGTAGGAGTTTGGTAGGGGTGTTTCTGAGTGTACTCTGTCTCAGGAGGCTGCCCAATTGATTTTTTTTTTTTAAGTATCTGATGGCAATTAGGAGGGAAAAGCAGAGGAAATGTCCCATCCACAGGCTCAGAAACATGGAAACAGAGAATGCATTTGGGGGCCGAGGTGTGGGTGCGCTGGTGTAGGATGAAGGCATGATGGCAGGCAGAAGGGCAATAGGGAGCCATAGAAGGTGTTAGAGCACAGGACACATGGGGGCAGATCTGCGTTTTAGAATGAAGCAAACGGGGGGTTGGCTGAGGTCTGGGTGGAGCGAGGGTCAGGAGCCGCAGCGAGGGGAAGGATGGGGGCGTCAGGCGGCTGGAGGTGCCGGGACTCAGTGGCCTGCAGGCCGGCAGTTCCGTTTTCTCTTCCACGCGGCCGCTGACAGCTTTGCTTCCTGCCGAGTTATTTTCATCTGCTTCCTGTTTGTCCCTGGCAGCCCAGCGGGCACCTCATGTGCTGCCTTCAGCCCCAGCTCCTCCCAGAAACCACAGTGCCAGGGTCATGCCAGGCGCTCTGATCCGCTCCCTGCAGCTGCCCATTTTACAGATGATGAAACTGAGTCTCTTGTGAGGCCCTGACCATCAGCTCACCCAGCCTGGGCAGGGCAGAGCCAGGATTGGACCGCAGGTGGCCGAGTAGCCTCTGTGCCTTCAGGGCACTAGTTGGGGAAGGCCTGGTCGCTGCTGGGAGGAGTGGGAGCCCCCGGGGTTATCTGGTCCCAGAGGCGGGGGCTAGGCTGGTTTCCTGGGGAAACCCTAATCTCAGTTCCTTTCCGATCCTGGCACTTCCTTGGAGGCCTGGCCTGGGCGGGGCTCAGCTCCCAGGCTCCTGCAGGAGGTCCGAACGGGGCCACCCAGGCCGGGACACTTTCTTTGTTTTGATACAGGATCTTGCTGTGTTGCCCAGGCTGGAGTGCTGTGGTGTGATTGAGGCTGACTGTGGCCTTGAACCCTCCTGGGCTTAAGCCATCCTCCCATCTCTGCCTCCTGAGTGGCTGGGACTACAGGTGTGAGCCACTGCACCTGGCTAACTTTTTTTTTTTTTTTTTTTTTTTTTTTTTTTTTTTTTTGAGTCGGAGTGTCGCTCTGTCACCCAGGCTGGAGTGCAGTGGCATGATCTCAGCTCACTGCAATCTCCACCTCCCTGGTTCAAGCCGTTCTTCTGCCTCAGCCTCCCGAGTAGCTGTGGCTACAGGCACCTGCCGCCACGCCCGGCTCATTTTTGTATATTTAGTAGAGGCGGGTTTCACAATATTGGCCAGGCTGGTCTCAAACTCCTGACCTTGTGATCCGCCTCCCTCCGTCTCCCAAAGTGCTGGGATTACAGGCGTGAGCCACTGTGCCAGCCTAATTTTTTTTTTTTTTGACAGAATCTCACTCTGTCACCCAGGCTGGAGTGCAGGGATTAGATCTCAGTTCACTGCAACCTCCCCCTCCTGGGTTCAAGTGATTCTCCTGCCTCAGCCTTCTGAGTAGTTGTGATTACAGGCGCATGCCAGCGTGACCAGCTAATTATTTTTATTTTTTGTATTTTTAGTAGAGATGGCGTTTCACCATATTGGCCAGGCCGGTCTTGAACTCCTGACCTCAAGTGATCCACCCACCTCGGCCTCCCAAAGTGCTAGGATTACAAGCATGAGCCACTGTACCCGCCCAATTTTTGTATTTTTTGTAGGGTCGGGGTCTCCTGATGGGCAGGCTGGTCTAGAACTCCGGAGCTAAAGCTCTCTGGGAGCTACCTCCCAAAGTGCTGGAATAACAGGCCTGAGCCACCGCGCCCGGCTGGGGGCGCCTTCTGGCGCCTTGGGGCTGCCCCAGGCGGGAAGAGGCTCTGCCGCTGGGATGAGGGCTCCAGCCCAGGTGCCTCTGAGCTGCTGAGACCCTGGCGAGACCCTTCCCTTTCTAGGTCTCGGCTGACTTGTCCATAAAATGGGGCCACCATGATAGCCCCCCCGCAGGGCTGCTGAGACATGACCAGACATCCTCTGCCTGCAGTGATAGTTGTGGGGTCCACCCCGCAGCTTGGGGACCCCCGTGCATGGCCTACATGGGCGGGTTGGATACCCTGGGGCCGCCCCGAGTCTTCCGGGGCCGCCTCATTCCTGGGCTTCGGGTCTGGGCCTCAGTTTCCCAACCCGTCCTCAAGTCTCCCCACTTGGATTCGCGCCGCCCGGGCCGGGGCGGGCGAAGGGGACTTCGGGGCGGGGTTTCCCTCGCGGGGGCGGGGTCTCCAGACCGGCTGGAGCCGGTTTGGCCTCTAGCGGCCACCGGAGACCCCCATCGGTCAGCTGCCGGCCCCACGCGCTCGCGGTCTCCGCGCCCCGACGGCTGCGCCATGTGTATCTGCGGGACCGCGAACCCGGCGCTGGACGAGGGCCCCGTGCGCTGCAGGGCGGGCCCCCGAGGTGACGGGACAGGTGCGGGGCGCGGGGTCCCCCAGCCCGTCCGGGAGCACGTGGCGCTCGGGCCGTTTGCTGCCCGCGGTTGGGGAGCAGCGGCTGCCGCGCGCCGGCCCTGGCCGCGCCCATCTGGGCATCCCCGCGCTGCGCGGGGGTCGCGCTGGCCTTCGGCTTCCCGGGTTGGGGGTGCACAGGGACCGCGGGGGTCCAGGCCCCGGCTGCGCGCGCGTGGGGGGAGGCGGGCGCCCGGCGGGAAGGTCCCGGGAAGGAGCGTGGCCGGGTCCTCCTAACTGGCTTCCCCGCGTGCCTGGAGCGCAGTCCCGTGCCCGGAGTCCGCCTCGCCTCCGGCGGCAAAGACGGGCTCCGGCCGGGGGTCCGAGGCGAGGCGGCGGCCCGGGCGGCCTCCTCCCGGAGGTGACATCCCGCCGGGGTCTTCGGTGCGGAAAGGGATGGAGCAGGTTCCACTTAGCACAGGTATCCTTCGACTTACGACCTATGCAACTTACGACCATTCGACTTTACGACCACCATCGCTAGCCACGACTGCTCCGCGTCTGGCAGCGCAAACGTTGCCCAGCTGGGCGTGCGCCAGTGCGGACCAGCCTCCGGCAGCACTGCCATCTCCGCGTGCATACAGCCTACTCAACTTACGACCGAACCGCGTTACGACCGGTCTGTCGGACCCAGTCGTGTTCGTAAGTCGGGCACTCGCTGTATTTGGAGCGCCCTCCGAGCGGCACAGTCAGGCGTCAGCGCTGTCCCTCCCGCTGGCCTCAGTGTCTCCCGCGAATCCCGCGGGTTTGCTTCCGCCCGGCGGGGTGTGCCTGGCTCTGGTTAGTTCTCCCGCACGCTCGGCTTGTTTCTTTTTTTTTTTCTTTTTTGTTGTCACCCAGGCTGGAGTGCAGGGGCGCGATCTCGGCTCACTGCAACCTCCGCCTCCCGGGTTCAAGCGATACTCCTGCCTCAGCCTCCCCAGTAGCCAGGATTACAGGGGAGCACCACCCGCCCCAGCTAATTGTTCCATTTTTAGTAGAGGCAGGGTTTTACTATGTTGGCCTGGCTGGCCTTGAACTCCTGACCTCAAGTGATCTGCCCACCTCGGCCTCCGAAAGTGCTGGGATTGCGGCGCTTGGCCCTCTCTGCTTTTTTCTTCTTCCAGTTGAGAACGTTTGATGAGGGCATTTACCTTTTTGTTCTTTGTTACAGACACAGGGTCTCACTATATTGCTCAGGCTGGTCTTGAATTCCTGGGGTCAAGTCATCCTCCTGCCTCAGCCTCCCAAAGTGCTGGGGCCGCAGGTGTGAGCCACTGTGGCTGGCTGACGAGGGCAGTGAAAGCCAGGTTCCAACAGTCAGAGCTGACCACCACCCTCCTCTGCTCTAACACCTTCTGTGGCTCCCTCCTGCCCTGGAGATAAAGCCAGGCAGGATCCCTCTGCCAGACATTCTCATGCCTTCCAAGCTAGCGTAGAGGAAAAAGCTGTGTGATTGTTGAGAAATGGCTTCCCATCACTATGCCTCAGTTTCTTCCCCCAGGCAGGAAGGGCAGAGAGAGAGACCTAGACAAGGCTTTGAGCAGTCCTGAGGGCTTAGGGCAAGGGAGGGTTTGCCTGGTGGGCTGCCTGGAGAAGGGGGCTGCAGGACAAGAGGCAGTTTGCTTTCTGGAGGGACAGGAAGAGCGTTCTGAGCAGCAGAGTACTGAGGCCAAGGTCTGGCCTTTGATGACCTGGCCGGCAGCCCAGAGAGGGACACTGCCCTATCTGAGGTCTCAAAGTGAGCCCCAGGCATCTGCCCTCTGCCACCTCTGCCTCAGTTTCCCCATCTGGGAACAGGGGCTCCAAAGAGGAGGGAGGAGGTGGACAGACCTTCCCTGGAACTGGGCCCCACCCCACTGCTCACGCCCACTCTGCCCAGCAGACCTCCTTGAGGCTCGCCGCCCACTGGCCCACGAGTGCCTGGGTGAGGCCCTGCGTGTCATGCGTCAGGTCATCTCCAAGTACCCACTGCTGAACACCGTGGAGACGCTCACAGCAGCCGGCACCCTCATTGCCAAAGTCAAAGGTCAGCCTGCCGGAACAGGGCTCTTTGCCTGGAAGGGCGTCCTGGAGGTGGGCTTGTTTAAAGTGGGTTTTGAAGGATGCATAGGAGTTTGATAGGCACAGCAGCTCCGTGCTGCTCCCCCTGGGTTAAGGGCTCCCATCAGTTCTTGCAGGGATGGTCACCTCCCAGGGTGGGCCCACTTCCTTGTCCTTGTGTCTGCCCCCCAGCCTTCCATTACGAGTGTAACAATGATCTGGAGAAACAGGAGTTTGAGAAGGCCCTGGAGACGATTGCGGTGGCCTTCAGCAGCACGTGAGCTCGGGCGCCTGCGGGGCGGAGTGAGGGAGTGTGGGGGGCCCCGGTATCCCTCGATGGTGACCCCCCCCGGCCCTGCAGAGTGTCCGAGTTCCTCATGGGTGAAGTGGACAGCAGCACCCTCCTCGCAGTGCCTCCCGGGGACTCGAGCCAGGTGAGCGGGGTGGGCCGGGACCACCTGTGTCCAGGTTCTGGAGGCCCGCTGGGTTCAGGTCTGCAGGGCTTGGCCAGTCACCCTGCTTCCCCTGCGCACCTTGGTCTCCCTGTGTGTCCAGGGTAGTGGGTGGCAGCCATCCCCCCCAGTGGCTGGTCTGACCTGCGTCTCCATCCTACAGTCCATGGAAAGCCTGTATGGACCGGGGAGTGAGGGCACCCCTCCCGGCCTTGAGGAATGCGACGCTGGTAAGCCCCACCCAGCGGCAGGCAGGCATTTGAGGGGTGGGCAGTTGCGGGGTTGGGCCAGGCTGAGCAGGCCTGGTCCCCTGCAGGCTGCCTGCCCGCCGAGGAAGTGGATGTGCTGCTGCAGCGCTGTGAGGGGGGCGTGGACGCCGCACTGCTGTATGCTAAGAACATGGCGAAGTACATGAAGGACCTCATCAGCTACCTGGAGAAGCGGACCACGCTGGGTGAGAGCTGGGGGTCCCAGCAGGGCGGGCCTGGAGGGGGGCTTCTGGGTGAGCTGGGAAGGCCTTGTCCCGGCTTCTCACACCCCTCCCTGGCCTACAGAGATGGAGTTTGCCAAGGGCCTGCAGAAGATCGTTCACAACTGCAGACAGAGCGTCATGCAGGAGGTGGGGGTCCCGTGGGCATGGGGTGGGGGTCCCTAGGTCCGGTTGTGAGTCTCAGCCCCATTTTAAGGGCCCAGGGGCCAAGGCCAGGGGCTTCGCCTCTGTACTAATGGGGGTGGCCGCAGGGACCAGGGAGGTGGTGGCTGGGGTGCTGGGGCCGCCCTGCCTCCATCCCTCCCCACCCAGTGACCCTGCCCCCACCCACAGCCGCACATGCCGCTGCTGTCCATCTACTCGCTGGCCCTGGAGCAAGACCTGGAGTTCGGCCACGGCATGGTGCAGGCCGTGGGCACCTTGCAGACCCAGACCTTCATGCAGGTGGGTGGTGCCTGAGAGGGCGGGCTGGGCGGGGGTGTCTCCAGGGTACCCGCTCACAGCCCCTCTTGCCCCAGCCCCTGACCCTGCGGCGGCTTGAACATGAGAAGCGCAGGAAGGAGATCAAGGAGGCCTGGCACCGCGCCCAGAGGAAGCTGGTGAGGGAGGCAGGCGGGAGCGGGCTGGAGGGGGGGAAGCGGGGGAGGAGATGGGAGTGGGGAGGGGGCGGGAAGGGGGGAGGGGGCGGGAGGGGGGAGGGGGCGGGCGGGGCCTCAGCGCAGGCGCAGTCCCAGCCCCATAGCGGGGACCCTGCACCCAGCTGTGCGCAAGCCCCGGCCTCCTGCGCATGCGCGGCCGTGTGGTCCCAGCCGCTCCAGCTCCATCGCCCCAGCTCTGCCTGGGAGGACCCAGGACCCCGGGGTGCACTCTGTTCCTGCAGAAGTGGGGAGAAGCCGTGCCTGCCTCGGTTGTGAGCAGCAGGCCCCCGGGCTGGAGGGAGACTGATCCTCCCTCAGGACCCCTGAAGGCTCCATGTTCTGCCTGCATTCCTTTTTTTTTTTGAGATGGAGTCTTGCTGTGTTGCCCAGGCTGGAGTGCAACGGCGCCATCTCGGCTCACTGCAACCTCCGCCTCCCGGGTTCAAACAATTCTGTCCTAGATTCCCTAGCAGCTAGGGTTACGGGAGCCTTCCACCACACCTGGCTAATTTTTGTATTTTTAGTGGAGACGGGGTTTCGCCATAGTGGTGAGGCCGGCCTTGAACTCCTGACGTCAGTTGGGTTTTTTCAAAGACACCGGCGCTTTTTTTTCTTCTTCTTTTTTACTTTTTCTTTTTTCTTTTTTTTTTTGAGATAGGGTCTCGCTCTGTCGCCCAGGCTTGAGTACAGTGATGCAGTCATACCGCACTGCAGACTTGACTTCCTGGGTCCAAATGACCCTCTCACCTCAGCCTCCTGAGGTGCTGGATCTGCAGGCACCAGCCATCATACCCGGCTAATTTTTCGTGCACTCACTATGCTGCCCGGTTTTTGTTTGTTTGCAGCTTATGTTAACAGGGTCTGGTGAAATGCACCCTCCCAGATCCTTCCACCACATACCAGCAAACCAACAACCACCCACTTTTGTGCACGTGAGGACAGCTCACCTCCTACCCTGTTCTGCTCCTGATTTCTATCCTCACCTCTGTATAGAGAGGCTCACCCCATATCAGTCAACATGAAGCAGCCTGGACCCCTTTGTTCCGCGGTGCGGGGCTCAGCTGGGGAGGTTGAGTAGGTGATTTCCTGGACCTTTAGGGTGTGGCTGAGCTCTTGCTGTTACAAACACCATTGCTATGACAAGCGTGTGGCCCTGTCTCAAGGATGCCTGAGGGTTTATCTGGGATCAGTGCCCAAAATGGAACTGCTGGGTCAAGGGGCATGCGTGCACAAGCCACCTTGCCAGGACACAGCAGTGCTTTTCCTGTTTGGTGAACGCTCATTTCCTATCCTTTGCCTACTTTGCATTGGACAGTGGCTTATTGATTTGTTAGAGCTTTTTACATATTAGAGAACTTAGGCCTTAATCATATGAGTTTTAGACTCCTGACATCCTCTTCCGACATTTATTGTTTGACTTTTGATTTTACCTGTGGCCTATTTTGCCAGGTAGAAACCCGTGATTGTTAGTAGTGATGATTGTTAGTAGTAGCCTTTTTTTTTCCAATTGAGAAGGAGTCTTGCTCTGTTTCTCAGGCTGGAGTGCAATGGCTCGATCTTAGCTTACTGCAACCTCTGCCTCCTGGGTTCAAGTAGTTCTCAGGCACCCACCACCACAGCTGCTAACTTTTGTGTTTTTAGTAGAGACAGGGTTTCACCACGTTGGCCAGGCTGGTCTCAAACTCCTGACATCAAGTAATCCACCCACCTCGGCCTCCCAAAGCGCTGGGATTACAGGCGTGAGCCACTGTGCCGGGCCAAATTTTTACCTTGTTGGTAGAGATGGGGTTACACCATGTTGGCCAGGCTGATCGAGTAGCTAGGACCACAGGTATGCGTCACCACGCCCAGCTAATTTTTTTTTTTTTTTTTTTGGTAGGGATGGGGTTTCACTATGTTGGCCAGGCTGGTCTTGAACTCCTGGCCTCAATCAATCCTCCTGCCTCGGCCTCCCAAAGCACTAGGATTACAGGCATGAGGCTGGCCATCTCCTAGTCATTGGATGGGTCCGTTTGCTTATGTGTGAATCTGATGGTGCAGGTTGTGAGGTGTGGCCCCCGAGCCCACAGGTCTTTGACTAACTGCTCTTCCTGCCAACCTGTGGGTGCGTGGCTTCCTGCCTGGGCGGCTTCTCTGTTCCCGTCTGTGAGGAGAGAAGTGAAAGCAACAGAGCCTGGAGATGCTGGCCTGCTCCCGTGGGGGATGGTGTGGGTGTCTGCGGAGGCTGCCGTATGTGCCTCTGTTGGGAGCTCAGCTGTGCCTCAGCTTCCCAGGTTGCAGAGCAGGCTCACGAGACTCCCATTCCTCCAAGGGTCCCCTTGCTGGTGCTTCCACAGAGCCTCGCTCTGTCGCCCAGGCTGGAGCGCAGTGGCCCCATCTCTGCTCACTGCAATCTCCGCCTCCCAGGTTCAAGCGACACTCCTGCCTCAGCCTCCTGAGCAGCTGGGAGCTGGGATTACAGACGCACACTACCACACCCAGCTAACTTTTGTAGTTTTAGAGACAAGGTTTCACCAGGGTGGCCAGGCCGGTCTTGAACTCCTGATCTCATGACCCGAGGGCTTCAGCCTCCCAAAGTGCTGGGATTACAGGCATTTGCCACCGGGCTCAGCCTTTCTTTTTTTTTTTTTTTTTTTTTTTTTGGTTTTTCCCTTTTTTTTCCCCGGGTGGG